TTGGTTTCTCCATACACTTTATACTTGTTAGTGTATATGTAGTACCTAGTAGCTTATATTATGATTCCCTTTTGACAGACATGGAAATAGAGGATCACAAAAGTTAAGAAATAACTGAGGTTGCCTAGTAGGTGAATGGCTGAGTTAGTATCTGAACCTATGTCTTTATGACTCTAAAACCTTTTTTCCCCACAGAATTAGATTGTCTCATCTATAAGAAGGATGTATATAGCCTTTATTCCTTGAGGCCCTGCAAAATGGGGTCATTTTGAAGCCAGAGAAATGGTTACTATTCTTTATCACCCTTTCCCCATTTCTATTGCCAGCTACCATTTTTTGAGAGTCTGCTGTTGGGAGGTTATTCTCTGTGGTTCTCCCTTATTTCTGTGCATCTTGCAAGCAGAGGTACTGACTACCCTTTATTCTGGGCTACCTTCTCAAGGATGCTTCTTGTTTAGCAAATAGCCTTGGAAGATAGACATGGTGTTTTCCTCCAGAGTAAAGGGCCACCTGGCTTACCATCTAGTATAATAAAGACATCAAGGAACAAAAGAAAGGCATGCCTACTATTCATTGTTAAAGATTCTAGTTTTCTAAGCTCAGGGTTCCTTTCCTGTAGTAAAACCCATGTGTATATGCAGGTATCACCCTACCCTCTTTGGATCACCCTGTGTAAATTGAGACTTGGGAAACATGCAAAAAATGCTGATAATCTGGCTACTGTCAATGTTTTAATAAACTGTCCCTTATTTATAATCTAGGAGTCCTGGGTCTTCTACCAGCATCTGCAAAACTTGGCAAAGATTATAATTTCCTTGACAAGCAGGCTAGCTTGTTAGTTTGCAAGAAGGATAAATCTTAGACTTTTTGCAGTTCTTGATACTTTCTTTGTGGCAGTTGCTTTTACATATCTCTCATCTTCACAATAACCCTATAGCTCCATTTTCAAGAAGAGAAAACAGATACTGAGATGTTTAGAAACTTGCTCAAGAAAGAGGAAGGATTAGATTTGAACTCAAGACAATGTGATTCTCAAACTGTGTTTTTTTCACAGTTCTGAAATAATTCTGTGGCCATGGCCCCTCTTTGCATCAGGGAAAGTATAAACCTTGGTTACTTAATTGCCTTTTGGTTTCCTAAAGATTGTTCATCTACTGTAAAGAACAAAGTCATTCTAAGAATAGCTTTTTACTTGACTTGTGAAGTCTTTGGAGATTCACGGCTATTTGAAACAAAAATCTGACTCTTCACTATATTTAATTTCTCTGTTATTGCAAAGTTCTACATGGAATTTGAGATTCTGGCAGTGGTGATTTTTTTTTCCTCAAGGAAAAGAAACATTAAGACATTTGTTCTTGGAAAAATAAATCTGTATATGTGACATGTATGCCCACATGTATATACAATAGAGCAATCTATTCAGGATTTATTTTTATAGAGAGGACTGCTGTTATGCAAATATACACAGAATCGTTCTATGTTTTAAAGACATTTTTTCTGTATGGAGAAGTAGGGATAGCAGGAAGAAGGGGTCAGACAAAAAGAGACTGCATAGACATATAAAGCAAATCTACTTTCCCTAGGCTTTTAAAGATGTCTTTGGAGTAAAGGTTGTATGATGGTTTGAAAGAGGGGTGAAGGGGGAGAAGTACTGGGGAATGGAAGCACATTCAGTATTTTCTATTCTAGAGGTAGAGTTCCAAATGTTAATAAATGTCTATTGTGGCTTCTTGAGGGCCTAATTACTATAATTCCACAATGAAATTAGGCCCTTTGATTTAAGAAACTAAGTAAAAATAGTAACAACATCTGTAGACCTCTAGACCCCAAATGCAGTCTCAAAACCCTCTTAGAAAGATTTCCCTTCAGTCATTGGTGATGACAGTTCAGGTCCACAGTGATAGCATATCTTGTTGTCCACCACTCCACACTCTGGGGTATGTGTGGTTTCCAAGGCCCAGGTGTCAGGAAAATTAGGGGCCCATTAGCCTCAGACTTAAGTCTCAAACACAGAAACAACTCTCAAAGCTCCCAAATGCTTTCCCATCCCCCTCCAGCTCCCAGACTCAAGTCTGATTTCACCATGTTCACCAGAGCTCCCTGGTTTAATTAGCATAACTGTGGCTGCAAGAGCACATGGCAAAGATTATGGTTTCCATGACCTCACTGATTCTGGAAAACACACTGATATTTTAGAAAATATATGTATTTTTTTCCTTCTGGGAATAAGAACAAACCCAATAACACATACAGGACACCTCCTCTGAACCTTCTTTCCTTACCATCCCCTAAGTACAGATTCTCTTATTCCTTTTTCAGCAACCAAATTCAGCAATCCATTTAAATGAATTCAAGATTAAGAGATATAGACATGGGCTGCTTATCAACACTCTTGTCAATAGATTGGTTCATTGCCTCCTGCATCCCCTTCTTGGAAATGATTGTGTAGTACCTAACTGAAAATGTATAATATTTGCATACCCTTCCCCCAACAACTCCAGTTGGACAAGTAGGTAATTTTTTCTCCATGTAATTACCATCTTAGAGAGCTTTAATAGTGTGAAGCAGCAAAAGAGCTTCTTTTTATTTTTATTTTTTATCAGATTCTCCTGGTTCCCTGTCCATATCTCTTGAATGCTACCATTCAAAGTGCTCCTACTAACATCTAAATGGCAGCATCAATGAATGTGAGCCTGATGGCTTTTTTTCTGAAGTACTAGCGGCTACTCTGTACTTATATATGGTAGGTTTGAAGTGCTAAGGAATTAACACCACTGGGAGCAGCCCTCAATCAATGACTCTTGGCCACTGGTCTGTAAAACTTCAACTTATTTTCCCTTTATGTGGGATGAATTTGAGAACTGTGTTTCTTACCATTCCCCTTCATATCCTCATGGGATTAATTTCCAATGACCTAGTGTGGGAAGATAGCTTGATAATGTATTCCTAGTTGGATGTCTTCTTTTTTTCTGAAACATTTTTCCACTTTCCTACTCACGTTCTCATTACCTCCCAAATAAACTACTTGCAATGAATTCTAGGGGGACCCAAACTAAGATAACCACCAAAGGTTATATAAGACCACTGAAGGAGTTTCCAATAACCCATTAGCTGAATCTTCAAAGAAACATGGGGAAATTATTCAAACAACTGTTAGAGGCTCTGACAGAGCAGGGAAACTGACAAATAAGTTGCATATGAAAAAAAATGCATTAGTTTTGCATTTCTTTTGGTCAATTATCCTCAACACAGCTCAGGCAGCTCCTGTTGAGTTTGGTCATTTTCAAGTGCTTGCTCATCAGTTAGCCTGTCTTCATTACTTACTTTCATCTCTATCAGCAGACAAAGTCAATATTATTTCTATGATGGAATATAAGGAACCTACATTTTCATCCCAACTCTTTCATTTGTGGTATAATTGAGCAAGTTTTAAAGTTCTTTCAAACTTCAGTTCACTTGTCTCTAAATTTAGAGGGAAAAATGCCTATTACACTGGGTCATCCATTCAACAAATGTTTTTGAGCATCTACTGTGTGAGCATTTACACTAGCTCCTTTGGTATATAGTCATGAATAGTTAGTTCCTTCCTTCTTGACAGGCACAACATAGATGTTGTGGGTTCTGGAATCAGACAAACACTACTATAGCTCTGTGACCTCAGTAAACCTTCATTTTCTTCTTTGTAAAGTGGAGCCAATTTTCTTACAGAGTTGTGATAATATCTATGATTAAAGTTAAGTCCAATTGTCCCAGATGTGGCACACCTATAAGACTTAAAGTTGAGTAATAAGTATATCACTTATGGCAATTTTTAAATGAATATTATCTTTTTAGAGTTCTATTCTTTTTTTTTGAGAAAAAGGAAAAAGAAGATTTATTGTTTTGCTGACAAAGGAAAAACACAGGGGACTTCTGTCTCAGAGGCTGTGATTCTGCCGATCAGCAGGAACATGGGGCTTTTAAAGAGGTGATTCAAAGGCTACATTCCACGTGTTCTCTGTTGAAGTTGTAAATTCACTTATAAATTTTGGAGATAGTCATTTCTGAGATCTGGTACCATCCCCAAAGTCTGGATTACTTCATTCCTTGAGTGTGTACTCAAGGACAGATAACTCTGTCTAGGATCAGAAAGAAAGGTAATCCTATTTCCCCTGAGATTAGGCAGGGGGAGAGATTAAGGAGGACCAGGGAGAGAAGAATAGAAAGAAACATGTCCACTTAAAAAATAAGTTGCATTGGCAGAGCATCAAGGGCTATATTCAAAGCATAAAGTGGACCTCTGTTACATTTCCCCACTATCAGTTTCTACATTCCATTTCTATGGAAAATAGGTAACAACATCTCCAAGTTGCTTCCTGATGAAAGAGGGCAAAATTGGGGAAGTAACCTAAAGTCCTGTTCTCTATCAGGTGGAGCATTGACAGTTAAGGGTATTCAGTATCAGAGCAGTGCAGAGGTCCACAATGGCAGATGGCAGGTGACTGGACAAGGCATACATAGGGCATGGATCATGCAGATGGCCAAGGGTGTCCCAACTTTACTGAGTTTAGTATTCTTTATCTCAAAGTGGACCATGATGGAGCAACTCAACTCCTAACTCTCCTGCATTTGGCTCTCAACAAGTTTATCAGCTACCTTCAATCCTTAGCATGGAAGTGGGGTTCCTTGGAGAGCCAGGCCTGCCCAAGAAAGCTGGAGTGGGGGCTGCTCTCAGGTCCCATGTGGGTTGCCAATTTTGTTACTGAAAGCTTGATTCTTGTCCCAGATGCCAAAAGCAAGGAACCAGTTTTGAGGAAAAGGAAAAAGATTTATTGCTTTACTAGTGAAGGAGAAACACAGGGACTCCTGTCCCAGAGGCTGTGATTCAAGAGTTCTATTCTTTTGAGAAATGTAATAGGTGAATGATTAGAACACTCAAAAATATGTCTTTCATATATATGCAGTAAAATATGTGATATATAAGCTCTAGATTATGATTTTAAATCTATTTTAATGCACATGTCAATTTCTTTCTTTCTTTTTCCTTTTTCTTTATTGGTACCAGGGATTGAACACAGAGGCACTCAACCACTGAGCCTCATCCCCAGTCCCTTTTTTATATTTTATTTAGAGACAGGGTCTCATTGAGTTGCTTAGGGGCTCACTAAGTTGCTGAGGATGGCTTTGAACTTGCAATCTTCCTGCCTCAGCTTCCCTAGCCACTGGGATTACAGGTATGTACCACCACACCCAGAAACACATGTCAATTTCATTGAAAAATTCACAGAAATGAAAACTTGTGACTTAATTGGTTAAACACGGAATATACAGTCCCAGTATATAAACAATGTTCCATTAGCAGGTAAGACATAAGAAGATTACAGTAGTTAGTATTTATCGAGTGCTTATGACATGTCAAGTACTACTTACTTAAACATTTTAAATGCATAAACTCCTTTAGGTCACCCAATAACTTTTGTAGGTAGACACTATTTTTTGTCATTTTTATTATCCAAATTTTATGAATAAAGAAGTGCAAGAAGGCCAGGTAACTTCTCAAAGGTCACAGAGCTAATATACAGGGTCAGGCCTTGAAATCAGGTGGTGTGAATGCAGAATGCATACTCTTAACCTTAACACTGTCCCTTCTCAATGTGGGTTTTGGAGGAGCTTATTAGAAATGAAGAGTCTTGTGCCCACTACAGAACCACTGAATCAGATTCTGCATTTTAATGAGATGCCCAGGTGAATCATGCACTTATTACAGTTGGAGAAGCACTGCTCTACCTCATGCAGATTGGAATTTGATGAGTTAAGGGCTTTAGTGGTGCCACTAGAGCAAAAGTCCCAGGAGGTTTGGACCAAAGATAATTCGTTAAAATATAATATATTTTATTTGAAAGTCACTGATACACTAAAACACACCCCACACATCACATTGTGAATATGAACATGGAGAGTGAGTTGTGAAGGCCTACCTTTTTTCCTGATTATAGCTGTGCCAACAGATGCCAGTGGCTTTAACTAATTCTGCATTTGTCATTGGCCATAAGACATTGTTGTTGACAGCTATGTTCTCTTTCATTTTGATGGTTCAGGAAGGAATTTGCATAGGCATAATTGTTTTGTTTTCTTCCCTTTTTGTTGTCATGGTTACTTAATTCATTTGCAGCTTCAAGCTTCTTTCATATTAACCTGAAAGCCACTCAGAGCATCTCCTTCATGGAAGAGAATCATACATGAAGGGGAAGGCAGAGTCCTAATTCCTGAGTGTTTGGGTGATGGGTTTTAGATCAAGACACCTCTAAAGTAGAAATAACTTTTAAAGTTCAACCTGAAATTACAATTCATCTGGAGACCTCCTCTTCAGATCCAGGATTGAAACTCTGTGTCTCGAGTATGTGCATGTTTCAGTGGCAGAGAATATGTCCTGCAGCAAAACATAAATCATTATTGTAATATGAATCAGTGCAGAGGCTACAGGGAGGAGGTACATTCCCCAAAGCAATTCCATTCTTCTAGTTGCCCAGGGGAAAAATTTATTATCTGTGATGATGTATGTTGTAAATGAAACCCCAAACTCTTTGGTCATCCCTCACCTACCTACCTCAGTCTTCACCTGACTTTGTGCATCCCTGTTTCAGTCATCCACAATAGCCAAACCACTCAGAAATATAGTGGCTTCAGACACCATTTCATTGTTCATGATACAATAAGTGAATGGTTCAATTGGATTTTTGTTTTGCTTATGTCGCCTGGGGCAGCAGTTATCTGAATGCTTGAGTAGACTAGAATGTCCAAGATGGCTTATTCATGGCTGGCAATTAATGCAGGCTTTTGGTAAAAAGTACCAGTGGGAAGTTGACCATAATTTTTATTTTTCCTCCATGTGGCCTCTCTTTATGGCTTGAATCTCTCACAAAATGATGACTGAGTTTCAAAGGGAGCATTCCCAGGAAAGAAGTATTCTATTGGTTAATAGGAAATACTGATCTAAGGGGAGAGTACATAGGACTTGTTGGGGAATCTTTGGTGACTATCTGACATAATCCCCCTGTATTAGCCAATGTTCTCTAGAGGAAAAAACCAACAAAATGTATAGATAATTATAAGAGGGGATTTATTAGATTGGCTTGCATGATCAGAGGCTGGATGGTCCTACAATGGCTGTCTGTAAGCTGGAGAGCTAGGAAAACCAGTACCTGCTCAGTCCAAGAAGTTGAGTCTCAGAACAAGAGGAATAAATAAGGCAGCCCCAATCCAAGGCTGATGGCCCAGGAAAGTCACTGGTGCAAGTCTACCTTCAAAGGCTGCAGAAGCTGGAGTCTAATGTCCATAGGCAATAGCAACAGCTAACAAACAAAAACACCCACTCAAGAGGAATCAAGCTTGCGAAGTTGGTAGAGCTTCTCCTTTTTGTTTCATCCTGGCCCACAGATTATTGGACTGTGCTGCCCACATTCAGGGCACCTCAGTTCACTGATCCACATGTCAATCATCTCTGGAAACAGAAACATCCAAAAGTGTATTTTTACCAGTTTTCTAGGTACCTCTCAATCCAGTCAGGTTAACAACCAAGATTGTCATATCCCTCTTTCTGACCTTTTTTTTTTGTCCAAATTTTCCCAGTTCAAACTTTTCTACTATACCCATGGGAACTATTATTCAGTCACCACCAAAATTCTCTCTGACCTAAATTTCTTCTCTGAATGTGTTCTTTATTGTCATACTCTATGTGAAATCTAAGGACACAGCTTTTCCTGCCAGTTTCTGAGGTGCTGGCTATTTTCTCTTCCATATTTCTCATAACCCTAGACTGGAAGGTGAGATGGGTGCTTTTTTCTTTTGGTTCATTTCTAGTTTCCAAGACCACATTATAGTCCTGTTAGTAATACCATGTCTCTCTTCCCATCTTTGAATCTTAGATCATCATGCTATCTCACCTACTGCTCTTCTTGTTATAGCCATCTGTTGTCATTTTCCCCCCTTCTCTAAGATTTTAGCTCTCCCTCACTGTTGCTCTAACACTGCTCCTGTTATGATTCTTGGGGAATTCCATTCCACGTCAATAACTTCCAATATTCTGCCTTTCTGTACCTTGACTTTCCATCTTTCAACTTTGTCTCTCTCCACATTAGCTGTACATTCCTACAGTCATACCCTAGAATTATTTCCAATATTTTTACCTTCTTCTAATCTCTGTTCTCCAAAGGCATTAAATACAAGCAGTTGAGACATAACAAATTTGCCCATAATAATCTTAATGTCTTTGTGACAAATACCAGTTTATTCAAAAGTTGCTTAAGATATGGGTAGCATTTATCAATAGCATGTTCAACACTGAAATGAAGAAACTTGCTAAATCCACAGAGGCAAAAACCTAATATGGGGTACAATGCACTGGGGATCATGCTGCATGTATAATCAAAATAGCTTAATTTGAGATCTACCTTTGTTTCTTGGGAATCGTGATTCATTGAAAAATTCACTTAATTCCTTTGAGCATTGGTTTCCATGCATAAAACTACTAAGACATTCAGTAGAATCCAGCTCAAAAGATTCTTTAAGTAACAAAAAATATGATGTTTAATTGTAAACTGTAAAAGGACTTATGACACAAGGTACTAGATTTTGGTCTGAAGAATGTCACAAGCAGAGTTATGATAAAAATACCCCAATTTTTAGAAGAAATAAAGGTGTATTTGAAAGGTTCCAGACACAGTTGTTTGTTGGAAGCTGTTTAGTTCTGATGCATTTTAATACCTATCCCTAATGTGTAGCATGTCTCTTTTGCTTCATCTTATGCCAAAAATCAGTTTTTAGAGATTTATAGAACTTTGTAATATTATTTCTTTTAAATTAATACTAAATATTATTATATAACAGACATAGCTAGGTGTTGGGAATATACTGATAGGCAAAAGTAGATATAGTTTCTAACTTCACAGAGCTTTTAGCTGGGCTGTCAACAACCATACAACTGTGACAAGAGCTGTAAGGACATGCTTAGTTAAGGGGGCTTGTATATCTGACCTGGTCAAAATGTGGAGAAGGCCTCCCTGAAGGAATGTAGCAATCAATTAGATGGAGAAGAAAGGTATTTTAGTTTCTGACTGCTGCTGTAACAAATTATCACAAATTTAGTTGCTTAAGACAACAGATTTATTATTTTATAATTCTGGAGGTCAGAAGTCCTAAGATCAAGATTTTGGCAGGGCTGCATTCCTTTTGGAAACTCTAGGGGAGAATCCACTTCCTTGCATTTTTCAGATTCTAGAGACCATCTATTCTTCTAGAGGTCACCTTGGCTCATGGTTCTTTTCTTCATTTTCAAAGCCAGCAACATAGCATGTTTAAATACCTCTTCTCTTTGACCTCTGATTCCATTAATATATCTCTGTCTCTGACTCTCTTTCCCTTATAAGACATTTGTGATTACAATAAGTGCACTAGATAATCCAGGACAGTCTTTCCATCTCAAGATCCTTACCATAATCACATCTATGAAGTCACTTTTTTCCATATAAGGTAATATATATATATATATATATATATATAGTAATATATATTATGAGTTTTGGGAATCAAGACATGAACATCTTTGGTGGGAGACTGTTATTCTACTTACTCAAGAAAGAAGGGCATTTTAGGCAAAAAGAGTATGTGCAAAAGCTCTGCGATTGGACAGAACATCTCAAATAGAAAGGACTGAAAATAGATCAGTGTGGCAGAAACTAGATTGGAGGAATAGATGAATTCTAGATAGGGCAGAGGGGTGGGAGGGAAAGGGAGGGGGCAGGGGATTAGCAAGGATGGTGGGATGTGATAGACATCATTATCCAAAGTACATGTATGAAGACACAAATTGGGTGTCAACATACTTTATATACAACTGGAGATATGAGTAGGGGAGTTAATATGCTCACATTAACACTTGAAGGAGATGATTTTGCTGTAGGATGTGGAGAACAGACTGGAGGATCTAGTGATTGATGTGAACAATAATGGTAGCTTGTACTAGCTGGATTGGGAAAAGTTGAAGGATAAAAGGGAGAGATAGGAGGAAATGCAACGGGACTTGATAATGCTTGGTTATGAGGCTTCAGTGGGAGGCAGATGTTAAAGATACCAAGAACAACAACTGGCTTCAATTCTGCATCCCTTGGATGAATGATGGTGCAATTTACCAAAATAGAGAACATACAATGAATAAAGACCAGGTTTGTTTTGGACTCTCATGAGTTTGGTTTGGAATTGCTTAATTTGGGGTGCCCTTGAACCATCCATGAAGAGGTGTCAAGTAGGCTGTTGGTAGTAGTTCTAGAGAAGTGTAGGATGGAGATAGAAATTTATGAGCTATCTTCATATAAATATCTGTAATACAGGTGTAGATGAGAGTTTTTTAGGGAGACTGGGAAGGGACAATTGCTAAGGGTAAAGGATTGAGGAATCCCAAATCTAATAGCTGGGTGAGGAGGACAAACCTACCCAGGAGACAAAGATCTCAGAAAGGTAGGAAGAAAACCAGAAGAGCATTATTTTCTTGAAGCCAAAATAAGTTAATATTTTTTAAAAAGTAGTGAATGGTCATTAGTATCAAATACTTTTTATGAAGTCAAGTAAGAGGATAACAGGAAAGTATCTGTTGAATTTAATGACATTGTCAAGTAAAACTCCTCAGAAGTATAAGACTCTAGCTATGTCTCTGTATTTCTTTTCATTTTTTAAGATGAAGAAATTGGGTCATACTAGAAAAAAAGTCATAGGAACTTGTACTGAATGAAGCCATTTTCTTATTTGGGGGCTCAATCCTCATTCTATGATCCCAGGTTGAGTTTATGGTCCTCCCTTTTTCTTCATCAGAGTCCAAAGGAGCTAAAAGACATGCAGCACCTTATACATAATTGGCACTCAAATATTTGTTGATTGATTATATGAACAACCCATACATTTCTTCCTGAGATGCATTAATCTTACCCACAAGAATTAGAAGTTCTTACTCATGTACTGCCTCAAGGTCCTGATTCATAATCAAATAAAACTTCTGTCATATTCATCTAAGTGTGCTTTTTGAAAAACCACAATAGCTCTCATATTCTTACATGCCTAAGAGATTATTTTCCTATTATATGCTCTTGCTCATTTCCTTCTTAGGTGTGAAAATATTTGAGAATAGTTCTTGGTGTAGACAAAGTGAAAGGTATTTTTTTAATGGAAAGAGGATGTTTTTACTGTGGGGAAGATGACATAGCACCAGAAGTTTGAGCTCCCAGTCTGGCTCTAAAAAATCATCATGAACTGGTTTCCTGCCACTTGTCTTTTCTATTTGAAAAATAGGTCCACAGTAGTTGCTCCAACTGAAGGCAACAAAGAGAAGTTATGAAAAACTCATGTGTGTGTAAATAATTTGGAACATTAAGAATGAAGCAGACTACCAGCGTTTTTGGTCCTAAATTCAATAGAACTGCATACACATATGGATAAATTGTGTAAAAGTAAAATCAAAGTGAATCAAAACCCTAGGAATTAGACTGGAAACATTAAAACTTCTAGAAGAAAACATAAGGTCAACACTCCACATTGGTGAAGTCACTGTCTTCTTTAATAAGACTTCTAAAGCTCAAGAAATCAAACCCAAGAATCAATAATTTGGATGCCATCAAATTAAAAAACTTCTGCACAGAAAAGGAAATAATTAAGAACATGAAGAGAGCCTACAGAATGGAAAAAAAAATCTTTGCCAGCTACTCTTGTGATGGGATTAATATCCAGAATATACAAAGAACTCAAAAAACCTAACATTAAAAATATTCCAATCAATGAATGGGCAAATGAACTAAACAGACATTTCTCAAAGGAAGAAATACAAATGGACCAAATATATAAAAAAGTATTCAACATCCTTAGCAATCAGGGAAATGCAAATTAAAACTACGTTGAGATTTCATCTCACTCTAGCTAGAATGGCAATCATTAAGAACACAAACAATAATAATTGCTGATGAGGATGTAGGGGGAAATGTACACTCATGCATTATTGGTGAAACTGCAAATTAGTACAATCACTATGGAAAGCATTATGGAGATTCCTCAAAAAACTAGGAATGGAACCATCATATGACCCAGCTCTCCCACTCCTTGGCATTTATTCAAAAGAACTAAAATCAGCATACTATAGTGACACATGCACACCAATATTTATAGCAGTGCAATTTACAATAGCCAAGTTATAGAACCAGCCTAGGTGCCCATCAACAGATGAGTGGATTAAGAAAATTGGGTATATACACACCATGGAGTTTTCTTTGATCATAAAGAATAATGAAATTATGTCATTTGCTGACAAATGGATGGAATTGGAGAACATCATGCTAAATGAAATAATCCAGACTCAGAAAGTCAAGGGTCGAATGCTTTCTCTCTATTTGGAAGTTAGAGAGGGAGAAGAAGGGAGAGAGAGAGAGAGAGAGAGAGAGAGAGAGAGAGAGAGAGAGAGAGAAA